CAGTGCGTGGGAAAATATAAGATATTTCCAGCCTCTCAAAATTAACTTACACAATTAAAATTGAATGTGACAAGTTATTTGTGCACCAGAGGATTCCTGTGTGAATCTATACTCGCAAGGATGCCCAAATCTATAACTTGATGGAGGTGTCGGACTCATGCAAGCGTCCGACTCGAGTTAAACTACTGTACTGTAGACGGTGGTGGCTTTTCCTCAGGTAGAAGACTGCGCAGACATTTGTCACGAAACATCACAAATGTAGTGGCCAATCATAGTCTAGTCTGATTGGCTGTTTTTCTCTATCGTCTATTAGTTCTTCCTCCATCCACTCACGCGTCTACTGTACTGCTGCTTCCTGCCCTCTCCACTATTACCTTGCGTGAGATTTTGTGCGCGATGGAGTTCTGAACTTGCAGCGTGTGTTCAGTCGGAAGCGCATGAGGGCAATTCGCAATTATTCAACTTACTGGATTGTTTGCCTTGGCATTTGTAGCAGTACACTAGCGTTCTGGAGTCACAGGCTTGATCAACCTTTCTGCACCTCCACCGAGAGTCGTCGAGATTGTATATCTATCTATCTATCTTGGCGACTAATAGATTCGAACTAAATATATCTTCGAGATAATAATCTGGATAAGAAATCAAAAATAATCTACTTCTTATGTGACGTTGAATCCAGCGAACTATTTTCAATTCCCGAAGACATCAATCGATTTTCATTTTCAATTCCCGAAGATATCGATAATGGATTTTCGAGCCTCCTCCTATTATCGAAGGTGTTGTCATTGCATGAAGACGAGTTAACTGCTGCTAAGAACGATGCGTTGGTCATGTCCATATTGGACACTGGCACTGTAGTTGAGACTGTCACGCCGTTGACCTATGCGGACGAGCTTTTGGCGCCAAAACGACGCCGAATGGAACCAAGAACTAACAAATGCACTGCTGGTTGAAATTTATCCTCCCCACCAGAAACATGGTCGAGCGGCTCTTGAGCGTCGCGAAGTATATGCTGACAGTTCTAGAAATATTATGCATCCGGTGAATTTCGAGATCATCATATTCCTTCGCCCAAATATATCTTACTGGAGTGTTTCCTCCATTGTGTAATCATGAAATCTGAATCAACAACAATACTAGTACCAGTACAGTAGTACATTGATTGCTACAGGGGAATTCAGAATGCAAGGACTACTTTTACCTGCGACTTTTCGACCTTTGCATCATCTGATTGGTTACTGTACTTCGAAGTTCGGTTTTCATTTCGACCAATGGCATCCGGGTAGTAAAAATAATATTCAAATCACTGTTGAAATGATTTAAATTTTGGAGGAGATTAAATTATGCGTCAACTTTTGATGTTTTATGTTTTATTGTCGAAGTCAAATTCTCGCATTTTGGCAGGCCATTTAATCATAGAGTGCCAATTATAATTGATACAGCAAACACGGAACAAACGTAAGCGTTTGACGCGGTGGCGCAATGGTTTAGTGCGACGGCATAACAATTATAGAGGAAGGGCCCCGGGTTCAATTCCCGGGGAGTGTCAAACTTTTTCCTTTAAATCATTGCGGCTCATACAAAAGTCTAATGATATAAACACACCATACAAAATCGAATTATTGACAATCCATTGGCTCCTGAGGAAGTGCCTTTTCAAATCTGCCACGAATCGTCTCCGTGGACACCATGTCCCAAGCGGCGATGGCTCTCTTGATCAAGGCCAACCGCTTTTGACGAGCGGTAAGTGAAAATGCATCGTGGTCATCTCCCGTGATGATGTCTTCGTAAAGTCACAGTTCCCGTAGGTGCCACTTGAAAGGAGCCATCACGCCGACGTCAAGGGGTTGGCACATGGACGTCGAATTCGGCGGCTATGGGCAGAGGTGCGATCCAAGCTCTTCGTTGATAATCTTGTAGGAAGCCTCAGACACATGCGATTCGAAATTATCCACAAGGATAACGGACGCTTCTTCGATGTCGTCATGCAGCACCGTGCGCACGTAAGTCTTCCAAACGTGACCGTCCATCCAGGCTTTTTCTTGAACAGCGTAGGAGTGGCCGACGGGAAAGGTCGGAAACTCATTCGCCTCAATGCGGCCACCAGGTACACCCTTCATGATGAATAAAATAGGAAGCTTCGTTCCATCCGCTTTGGCAGTCAAGACTGCAGTCATTCGCATGGAGTGCTTCTCCCCGACGAGATCTTTGAGCTGCCACCGCGAACAGCCCAAATGTAGTTAGGGGGCATATCGTAATTTATACCTGTCTCGTCTACGTTGTTGTACACGCTTTCTGACCCATGGGCACGATACTCACGATGAAATTCTGCCGTAAGGATGTCGCGCGTGTCCTCCAGGTCTTCCTGGCTCCATTTGCTTGTACCAGGTCGTTGTATCGAAAGTCCATGTCGAGCGGAAAAGCGTCGGAGAAGGAGGAGGAGGGAGTTGTATCCAGTGCCCAGCTTCTTGTTTGCCAAGTACGATACGAGCCATGCACGCTGGTTACGCTTGATCCAGGTGACCATATGGATCGTGGTAAGCGCACCCTCAGCGTCCCTCAATCCTGGATGAACTCAAGCATCCCGGGTGGGTCAGGAAATACTTCTGGGCGGCCGCCAGGTTTGAGCTTCATTTGTTTCCTGTTACCCTTGTAGGCTAGGAGTTCGGAGCGTTTGCTTTGCCAGTTTCGAATGGTGCGCCGCGCTACACTAAGCTCGGCGGCGACTTCATAGTCGTTCATTGTCTCAAGTAGACCCAACGCTTGAAGCTTGAAGGCTATCGGGCACATGATGCGCGCCATTGTAAAAGAATGACTTGAAATTATTTGAATTGGCGCTTTGGCGGGAGAATAAGAATATATCCAATCAAAACACAGTATATGTGCGAAATCATTGGACAATACTACATTAGTAATAATGGATACTTCGTTAGGCCTTGCATTCTGCATTCCCCTGTACTTCGTTGTTACTCGAAAAATAGTATACTAGTAATTGACAATTATCGATATATTGCATTAACAAACAATTATTATATACGTAGTACTTCGAAGTAACTCTCACAACACATCATGGGAACTAAAATGCCGGAGGTGTCTTGATCTTGGGAGTTTATAATTGCTTCGAGGTGTGCTTCTTGTTCCAAGCGACAATTCAAATGCATGAGTGCACTCTCATAGATTGTTCCATCGCACTTGACATTGTACGAGGTATGATCGGCTATCTTGGCGTCTTTATTCATGTGCGGAAGCTTGTAGTTATTACTTCATGAATTGCAATCGACATTTTGCAAAGTTATAAATGTTTTTGAGAGGGTAGCAACAGGCGTTTCATAGAACACGGCTCGCACAGCATCGATAAGCTACTCGATTGAACGAATTGACTTTTGATGCTGCAAACTTTGAATAGAATTAAAGAATCCTAAGTCAAGAACGTTAAAATCTGGACTATTCGAAGGCTGGTTGGCAATTTCGATAATGTTATCAATAATTCCACGGTCATCGAGCTCTCTTGTGGTCACGCACTTGTGGGGGCTCGCATTGTCTTGCTGGATGATAACTTTGCCACTACTAGTAGTACTACTAGGAAATTTCGACTTCGCCTACAAGACCTCCACGAACGGCCACATGCCAATCTTGCCACCAAAAACGCGTCTTGTGTGTGGGTCAAAACGTGAGCGGGCAACAGCCGCCAAAAACTTGAACTTGGTGATGACTTGACAGTTCGCGCCGCCACTTCTTTATCATCGTACACGTAATACCTTCGATTCACCTTTGTCAAATACAACCATATCTCATCAACATGGACAATTATGTCCATGTTAATAAAAGAAAGGTTCCATTTGGCAAGGATCGAATGAACCCCATTGCAAGACTTAGGCGGGCTTCAATGTCCGACGGTTAAGAAATTGCTTGACGTAACTTGAGCGAGCCTTCAAACGCGGACTATCCTTCATGTGTCGCACGATTGTTGTTTTGGCGATGCTCGACATTTGGCCAAGGAGCGCAAGGTTTGGCGGTCGTGGTGGGGCACTTGTCGAATGATTTCTTCGATCTCTTCCTTTGAGCGCTTTTTTTTACTGCCAGAATTCCCTAAAATAGTACAACGCTTAAAATTGATATATATGACAACGAATAAATATATAATTGATAGAGGTTTTACCACGTATTTTTGATGCTACGTCTGCCCCGTTCAGTATAGACTCCTGTCCACGATGCTACACACGCGAAACAGTGCGTGCATGACAGTTGAACTGATTTGCAGCGTCCACGAAGTCTCCACGACGCAGTGTGCCACTTGCGGATTTTTCGAGAAGGGTATCGTAGATGCAGGACGTTCGTCCAAATTCGACGATGTTTATCGTGTCCGAATAATGCTGGTTTGACGATGTTTATCGTCCCAAATCAAGGTAAAAATGTCTGCTTCATGCCATTAACCAGATCATAGGTCGATTATGAATACCTTAAACAGCCAAGTGGCCAATACCTTTCGAATTCAATTTTATAGATATAAAACTGTTTTATACAAACAAATCAAAATTAGGAGGGTCACAAAAACAACCGGAGTATAATTATGGCAAAAAGAAATGGTCGAAGCTAGGCTCGAAACACGGACTATGGTTTTTAACTGTTATAGTACAAGATTCGTGGCAACAAATTCAAACTGGGGACACCTACGTAGTGTAGGACCGTGCTGTGGAAGTACAGTAAGCTCACATGTTGGCCGCCCTAGTGTGAACCCTTAACCCTTAATAGAGCAGGAGTCATTACTACCTGTACTACCTGTAAAATACATGGTG